GGTGGCTGCAGGGTATTTGCTTACAACGGCTACCGCTGGTTTCCCTGTGAGCTGTTTATTTTTCCAGAACTCAGGTCATTACATCAGCCGGCGGTTTCTAGATGAGCCAAGAGTGCTGGCCTGGGGGGTGGGGGACCCGGCCAGGAGGTGCAGCTGCCTCAGTTACCCCAAGTCCCAAGCATAGCAGCTATCCTGGCAGGAACTTCCCGGGTGAGGCTGGAGCAATCCAAAACGTGGCCCAGGGGCCGGAAGCAGGTCTAGAAGAGCGACGCTCTGACACTGGTAGGTAAGGGCAGGATGCTGTGAACGGCTTACCTGAGACAGGTACAGTGACTCGGGCAAACACAGACACTCTCATGTATAAGGAGATGGGGGTGTCATTTTCATGGCAAAACTTATAAGAAATGCAATTCTACCCTGTGTCTCTGCCGATGGCTCTGTCTCCGGGAACAGAGCTACCAAAAGCTGCTCCATTCACTGATGTACAGAAGGAAGCTCTGCCGGCCACAGAGGCAAAGTGGGGTCGTTTTGGACTTAATTCACAGAGAGGGCCAGGTTCTAGGGCTTTCTTGAAGTCTCTGGTCAGATCATGAAAGAAGTAAACTAGAAAAGAGGGGGACAAAGGAAAGAGAGCTGGGGAAACATAGAGGGACACCACACCACTGCACTCTATTCAAGGCTACAGGAGTGAACTTAACCCCCCATAGCTGAGGGAATGGGCATGGGCCTTGGGAGCATGGCTATGTCACACAGGGAAGAGTTAAGGCTCACAGGACCACATTTCTTGAGAGATTGTGCTTTCCCAGAAGAGAAAGCACAGAATTTTGTCATACAGAAACAAAAAGATATAAATCACAGCTATAGGAAAGTGTCTGCATATAGTCAAATTAGAAGCAAGGGGAAATAAGACGAAGAATTAGATGAGTCCTAATTCTCATCATTTATTCAATCCTTTTATTTTTTCTATAAAATGTAGATGGTTAAAAACTATTTTAAACGCTAGGTATATTAAGAAATGCCTAGATGGCTAAGCCCTGATACACACACACATATACACACACACACACACACAACTCAGCAAGAGTTCATATTTCCTTATAAAAGCAGAACAGAGGGTCTGGCCAACACTCATCCATGAGAAGATGCTGCTCCCAAGTTCTAGGGTGTTAGCTGGCCAGGTCCAGCGCCGTCCTGAATGCAGGAAGAAGTCCTGGTGTGCTGGAGCTACAATGGAGGAGAGAACTGAAGACCAGAGAGGCAAATCTGTCAATACTGAACCTGCCGAGCACTCACACGGCGACACTGACCACAGTGAACATGTGACAACACCTTAAAAACAAGGACCAAGACTTCCAGGAGGAGAGAAGGGCACTGGGAGAGGTTGCATGCATATGTGTCATGTTATTGCAAAACCTCAGCTGCCCAGTGGAGCCTTTCCAACATCAACAGTCCCCAGGCCAGAAAACAAACCTGGCGTCACAGGGTCTGAGTGTGAAAAAAGGATACTGGGATAGCCTTTGTGCCTCTGGGAGGTAGCTGAGAAGAAGAGCTCTCACCCCAACGGCTTCGCAGGGTCCCACTGCAACTCCCCACGGGTGTGAACTGCAGAGCACCTGAACCCAGAATCTTCCATCGGACCCTAATGAAAATCCATCCCGGGTGTTTGACCCAGAGGCTCCAGTCCTGACCAGAGCCAGCTGCCCAGACACGAGTTATCATGAACGTAAATCTGATGGCTCATTAAACCAAATGTGATAACACGTGAACAGTGGCTGGCACAATACATAAAGATTCCGTCAAGAGTAGGCATTGTGTGGTTGTTGTTTAAAATCATGTATGGTGCACCATACATGACCATGTGCCAGGTACCACTGAGATGCTGCTGAGTCCTCACAAAGATCCTGCAAGGCTACTATTAACTTTGTTTTACATACAAGCAATTCAAGACTCAGGGAAGTTAATTAACTTTCCTGAGCTCACCAAGCCTCTCAGTGAGGAGTTTGCTTTGGAAGCCAGGTCTACAGGGTTTGCCTGACACCAAATGGTTTTGCCATTATGTGGTTTATCTCTGCTAAGAGATTCCCTACCCTCTGCCTACGAAAGCCAAGCTTCAGGACACTTCCTTGGCAACTCATGTACGCAGCGTGCACCAGAACAGGATGTTAAAGCCTGCAAAAAGGCCTGTGTGAGATGGTGAAGATGCAGGCCTTGTACCTATGCAGGCTTACCTGGGCACGTCAGGAAACAGCCGTCTGCTTGGTCTATGAGAGGGGCCAAAAGACTCGAGTGACACACCCCCATACTCACACTCCCATCCAAATGCTGCTATGCCAATCAGATACGCCAGGGCCCAGATAGGAAATATTCCAGGCTTTGCAGTCCACACAGGCTCTGTCACAACTATTCAACTCTACTGTTGTAGACAAAAACAGGCAATATGCAAATAAATGGCTGTGGCTGTGCTCCAATAGAACTTTATTTGCTAAAAACAGGCAGCTCGTCATTTGCCAACCCCTGCTATAGGCCTTTGTCTTTTATGTATTAACATAATTACAGCAAAAAGATTGACAGGCCCTCAGTCCATATTGATCATGTTGGAGAAAGTCCAAGTTTAGTAGGAGATTCCAAAATTATTGATTCATAACAATTATTCTTGGTCTCAGTTTCTCCTAGAGAACTGGTAAGTCTACCCCAACTATCCTGTCCTATACACTAACCTTACAGACATAACTGGGCCAACCCTGGGAAAAATAAAGGTGGGCAGGTCACTCTAACAAAAGGTAGGTGGTTGTACCTGCCTGGAAACCATTTCTCAACACGACCCTATACTCATCCAATTGGAAAGTAGAAATGGAAAACAGAAGAACTTCAGTGGAAGCAAAGATTATCAATTGACTTTGACTTTACCGCTTTACTACACTCAGAGAATACAGCCCCAGAAGACAGGCATCCTATGCCCAAGCATAACTAGTTTTTTCCAGCCTAACCCCTTACTACCTATGACCTAGGACAAGTTACTTCCTCTCTTTCAGCCTCCAACTCTTCATCTGCAAGACTGGGATCACAGTTATCTCACAGGGGTATGGTGAAGCTCAAGTGAGATGACAAATGTAAGGTTCTATAGCACCTGGCAGGGACTAGCTATTATAACAGTGCTATTCTCATTTTACTGATAATGGTGATGATGATCTTTTCTTCTCCACCCTTCCCCAAAACAGTTGAACACACTGAGCAAAGTTCTACAATAGATGTGTTAGGTGGGCAGTAAAGCCCTTGCTCTCACAGAGTTTATAACCCACACAGAGGAGTCAACTACTGGTGGGGGGAAAAGAAATTCAGGGAAGCAATTGCTAAACATCAAATCAGTGTTTCAGGCAAAGGTGCCATATAATTCAGAGAGCTCACCCTCTTACCTACCACTTGGTCACAGAATGACAAGTAACCCTTTCACTGGGGCCTTGCAAACCTTCCAGGGTCTTAGGGACGAGGGACAGTTGCAAATGTTACTTCTAGCCCTGTGTACTGTAAGCACCAAAACCACTTCTCTTTGGCTTATATTTGCCTAACAGTGAAGGGGCAGACGAGGGAGGTCCTAAGAAGCAGCCTAATAGATGTCTTTGCTTTACAGCAACAATCATAAATGCTTTCCTGATTAAAGAATTCTCACCATAAGAACTATCATTAATATTCCTATTATTCCTACCATAAACGATGATAATAATAAATACATGTACTTACAATTGATAGCTTAGCCAGGCATCAGTTAAGCACTATATAGACATTAATTTAGTTAACCTTTAACCACAGCCCTCTGAGGGAGAGACCATGATGCCAATTCACAGACGAGAACAGAGGGGGATTACGTGACTTCACTGGGGTCACTCGCTAAGTGTTGGAGCTAGAATGTAAACCTAGGTTTCACTTATCCCAAAGCCTGTGCTTTAACCACTGCACTATTCTATCAAAGACTCTGACCCAAGGGAGACCACACAATCCCTTTGCACCCCACCATCCCATGCCTCTGGCTTTTATCAGATAGTGAACCAGACACATGGAGAGGTACTGACCAACCCAAGCCGCAGAGGAACTCCACCAGTGCCGCTTGAATTTATCCCTCCGTCTACATCACTCCTTGCACTCTAACCTCACCCTGCCACCTTTAGGACAGAGCTGGCACACAGATAAGCCTTAAGAGGGCCCATGACAGCACACTCATTCATTAACGGGCATGGAAAACTCTGCCTGTATCTTTTGTTCACCGTCCTTGCCACCTATAAAGAAAAGATGATATGGCTAAATTCAACAGCCAGGAATAAATGACGCAAAGCGGTGTCTCTAACAACGAAGTCCTTGGTTGAAAGAAGGATGACCTTCTTTGATAGAAACACAGACTTAGCTTGTGGATACATTTTCCTGTTGGTGGACATTTAGTTTTTATTGATGATAAATGAACTTTATGGATGTTGGTCTTAACTGATGATAAATAAATGCTACAAATAAATCCTACAAATCTGATCACCATTCAACAATTATCACTTTTCTGCCAGGGGTTCAGCCAGTGCCCAAACCTGACCATTCACAAGACCCCCAAAAGATCAGAACAGAAAAGACATGGCTGTAAGTGGCCAGTTAAAGCCTTAAAAATACATGGAACCTAGTCCCTCCGGGCTTGAAGTCCAACTTCTTTATGCTCAGCCATTCTTCTTTCAAATTCTTCCACATGCCATATAAAAGTCAAGCAAAAATTACAATATACAGGCAAAAAAATTTTTAGCTAAAAGGATCGGCTACTTATGAATGATGATCCTTGAGATGATAACTGAAAAAATTAAAGTTAGAAAGGATTAACTCATCCAATGTTCTTATTTTATAGTTGTAGAAATTGAAGACCAGACAGACTAAATGACTTGGCTAAAGTCACACAGTAGGTAGTCATGGAGCAACCATGGGGCAACCAGGGATGAATCAGGTACATATCTAATCCAAGGAAGATTATTTACCTGAATTTCTTATGTTGGTGTTGTTCAGCTTGGAGTCCTTGATTACCAAGTGCTTAATCCATAGAGTAGGAGCTGTAATTTCTGGAGGGAAAAAAAAGGAGAGAGAAAAAGTCTAGGCAAAGAGAGTATGTGACTTAAAGTGTAACCCCAGGCTTCTTAATGGCTTTTTTAAAAAGTCTGAAGCCCCAAAGCTTCAGCTATCTCCCTCATTCCACATCCACCTTGTCCCAGTGCCCTCTCCCTTCCTCACGAAGGAAGCTCCTCTCCCCACCAGCTCATGAGAGCCAAGCCGGGCATCCTGTGCCAGGAGGCAGAGTGGGCAGAGTCCAGAGGCGCTGAGCCACTCCATCCAGGAATAAAAATATTATCCCAGGAGGGCAGGAACATGGGCCAAGCCAAGTACTGCTCAGCTGCTTCCCTGGGAGAAGATTTAAAGGGGATAAATCAACAAACGAACGCCAAACAAACCACAGAGACCATTCTAGAGGAAATGGCTGGGCCACAGCAGATTCAGCTTGTTGGGACTCTGCTCCACATGGGGAAGAGAGTAACAGGTCTAATGTGCGCTTCAATCCCCTTGCTAATCGTTTTTCACTGAACAAAGGCTGAATTCCTCCATCCAGAGAGCGCCAGGGTGCCTTCCGGCTCTCCAGGACATGGGTCACCCAGTGGGCAGGTAGAATAAGAATCCCAGATGGCTTTGAACACACTGTGGAGTGATAAGATCTTCAGTGAGGACCTTGGGGAGGTCTCCCAATATGACATGGTCTCCATTCCCCACCAGATCACCCAGGTCCCAGACTTGCCAACGTTCCAGGACCTTTGTGGATGACAGAGACATTTGAACTTCTAGACATGAACATACATATGTCCCATCATCTCACACTTTAGTGCTTTTCTCCAGAGCTGAACCTATGAGAAGGACAGCCCTAGCCACAGTGCCAACTTTTTATTCCTCTGTCTCACTGACCAGTCTCATGATACAGGCCTGGACACACTCAGCTGAGAGCTGCTAAAAGTTTGCTGCATATTGCACTAAAAGCTGAACCTTGTTGTCAGACTTTCTAGAGACCTCAGTCTGCCAAACGTTCTGCTCCTCCTCAGGGGAATCTGGAGTCCTCAGCAGCATACACTGAAGAACACAGGCCCTAAGCAGCTCCACCCTGAATCAGGGCCATACATCTCATGCTCTTTCTATCCACTATCCGTGTCTACAGAATATTCCAGCTTCTATTTTACCACCAGACACCACTATTTCTTTTGACCTAGAATTTCTTCTCTCCCAAATGTCTTGACTCAACTGTCAAAGTCCCTACAACCTAGCCAAATCAGCCCCACTAACCCCCTTCCTCCCTGCCGCACTGCTCACTGTACCCCATCCCCACCGCGGGCCCTCCTTGTCCATGCCAGACCCCTGCCCAGAACACGCTGATTCCTCCTTCCACTTCCAAGATCTAGCACCAGTCCCACATCTTCACAGAAGCTTTACCCAGACCATTCTGATCTCTTTCTTCCATAAATGTCTATTACAATAAAAATCGAGACCATATCATTAAACACATAACACTCTCTGTCTTGAGAGCGAAGGCTTATACCTGCACACTTCCCTTTCAACCCCCAAAGGGCCTTGCATGATGCTAGGCACAGAGCAGACCCTTGTAAGTGCTGCTTAGTTTACGGAAGGGACGCTACCGGCATGACTGTCTTTCTCAGCCATGATTCCTGGGTCTTGGCAGCTCAAAGGGTCTGTCCAGGCTGTGTTATTGTTGGACATCAGGAGACAGGCAGGAAGCCTGGAGAGAACAGAGAGCCCTTCCAGAAGTGGAGAGTGTACCAGTTCCTTGGAGGATTTGCATTTTTTAAAAGGTTAAAACAACCCAGCTTACATGGGGAAAAAATTGAAATTAAAAAAGAAAATAATAATAATAAAGATTAAACAAACACCCAAAGTTAAGACCTTTCCCAAACCTGAAGACGGGTGGGAGAACATTGTCAGAAGCAGTGGGAGGGCTTACCGTCTCCGTCGAACACCGGCTGAGTCTCCATCGTGGGTGTCGGCTTAGACCCGTCATCTGAATTGAGGGTTAAAAAGAATCGAAAAGAGACTACCATTATTGAGGTAAATACTATCTACTCTCCAGCACTGTTGAATGGTTGGGGTTTGTACATGGCCCGGCCAAGTCCCAATGAATAGACCAAAGAAAAAGAAATGAGAGAAGAAAAGAACAAGAAGGAAAGGAGAACCACAGAGAGACACCAACAGTAAAACAAATCCAAGGGTGTGCTCACCATCCCAACAGATTGTCAAAAGGACCTAAGGTTTTGTGGCTTTGGAGGATCCTTTCTCATAAATCTGAGGATACCAGATGCCTCTGCCAGCCCTGTTCCTCCTGCAGGAAAGCTGGGAGGAGGAGTCCGCCCCGGCAGCCCTAAACTTTGGCCAGGCATGTTAGGATCAGGTTGGCATCTCCATGGCATCAAATTCTGGTGACCCCAATTTCTTTCCTGCTTTCTCGTGAAAGGTACAGGATGAGTACTTTTTTCAAGTAGCCCTGATTAAATAGCTCAAGGAAAACCAGACACCAGGATGCTCTTCCCTTCCAAACTCCTAGCAGTTTCTCCAACTTTGCCTAAAAAAAGAGGAGAAGGTGGGAAGGACCATTCTCTTTCCAGCACACTGAGCTGAAGAGAATCGGGACTCTTTAGGACAGTTTAACTTTGAAACACCAGCACACACCCCAACTCCCCACAAGGGGTGAGGGCAAACAAAATGGGAGAGGACACAGGAAATTGCAGAAATCACCCTAGACTTGCTTGGAAATTTCTAACACAGATGATGGGAGCAGGGAGCACCTAGTATTAATATTAATAACAAAGTCCTAATGCTTATCATTCCACAAGTGTTGGCAGCTCTATTTGCAGCACGAGAACCTCAGCAAGTCAGGAGTTAGTACAGACTTTGTTTGTTTACCTTCTAGGACTCTGAGTTATTTTCATCAAGGACCCCAAAACCTTGGCCTAGAGCAGTGTTTCTCAACTCTTTTTCTATTGTCACCCACGTATGGAGCACTTTCAGACAATGTTTTCCTAATCAGCTCTCTAATGAAAGTTTAATAACACAGATAAACTGTATGTATATATTTGTGCTTTCTATGTCAAAAGCATAAGTTTTTTTTAATCTCCCAAGAAATAACTTCACTCCCTTGGTGAAGGCTACGAGCAGGTATCTTCACCCCTCTTCAGAATATGTAGTTCAGAGATTTCTCTCTGTTTTCTCACTCGGTGGGGGAAGGGGTTGACAGCACTGTTGTCTCAGCCCATTTGATGATTACACCATCCCTCTCTTCCCAAGACCCCCCAGAAGTCTTTTAGAATGGAATGCTATATCCTCTGAGCACAAACTATTAATGGAGAAAGTGAGTTCTAAGAAAGTCTACACAACCCCCGTCAGACCATCAATAATAACCACCATTTGGAGCTCCCAGTACCTTTGGCCAACTTCCTTGCATATTATCTTTGGAGACAGTGAGGATATAGAGTCCTGTTCTCTTTTTTGCACCAACATCTCACCCTTGAGATCTTAGGATTCAAGAGCTATGGAGACCCAAACCCTTGTTACATTCTGCGGCCAGCAGCTGAGCTGACAGTCCTGTGACACCTGACCCTGCTATTATTCTCGTGCTGACACCAAGACCCAGCTCACACAGGTTCCAAAGTGATCCTGAACTATCAGACAATCACCCCCAGGGATGAGATGTGGCAGGAAGTGAGGAGTAACTATTCTGGATATCTCATTGGCCTCAAACTGGAGTCCAAAACAGGCATGTTTTGATGCCAAACTGTGTGAGTTTGATCTGGAAGTCATTGAGGGAGAATAAACACAGAACAGAGCCACACAATGTCATTTTTTTTAATAGCATCACTTCCCCTGACTCTATTAACACCTCTTTCCATTGAATTCAATGAGCCACTGAATGAAGTCTTTTGGCAGCTGCAAGTGCACATTTGCTTGCGCCTGCCGGATGCGGAGTTCACAGTCTAAATAGCCCAGCACAGCGTGCTCAGCTCCTCCACACAGGGTGGCTTCATTTTAGGAGTCTTACCGGCTAACAAAGGGAAAGTGAGAAAACTGAGAAATCAAACATTCCAAGAAGGACAACGGTGAGAACCCACGTGAAAAATGGCTTATGCAATATTTCAATATACAACATAGACATTAAAATCCTCCTATAATACAAGAGCTGTATTTCCTCTCTGGAGCAAGATAACTGAAAACATTCTGTATATTTCTCCCATTATCCAGCTGAGAGCCTGGGACTGCCCATCTGGCCCAGCCATCAGCAAAGATCTGTGCTCAAGGAGAGCAAAGAGGGTTTCCTGAGGATGTTTTGCACTTTTGCAGGTCAAGGACTTCCACAGATTGCCCAGATGCAGGTACAGAAGCCCACAGGGCATGAAGCCATGTGCAGGGAGGGAATCTTCCTGCAGGGTAGGGTCACTGAGGGTGAAGAGATACAGCTGCTCTGCCACAAGGGAGGCCCTAAATGGAAAACTTTATGAAGTGAGAAAAGACAAGGTGCCCTGCTGCCAGGAGCCACCTGTGAAATCCAGCATGCCCAAAGGCTGGGAATCCAAGCCAAAGCCAACAGGACCCTCTAACCATCATCTCCGGGCACCTGGGCACCTGGCTTCTGACCCAGCAAATAAGCACACCTCTTGTACCAAACACAGGTCCAAGGTCCACATCAGTTCTGCTTCCAGGCAAGCCTTGGAGCAGCACCAGGCCCCACACTGAGCCCTGGGGAGAGAGAAAAGTTTCTGTGTATGCCCCTGGCCTCCCAGTCTCAAGTGGAGTCACACTCCAATTCCCGCTTTACATCCAACTTATTGGATAACTTGAACCCCTCACTTTACTTCTCTGGACAGCAATATCCTCTTCTGAAATTAAAGGGTACCAGCCTCTGGACACAGTGTAGGTATAAAAAATTTTAAAGGCCTATTAGATGGGGTGTGTAATTTCATGAAGGCTAACCATCTTATTTAACTGTTTACTTTTAAAATTGTATTTACAAAATTAAAATCCTATCAAAGTCATTAAATTAAAAATAAAGTAAACTTTACAACTCAACAAGATGACAAACAACCTTATTTAAAAATGGGCAAAATATTTTAATAGACATTTTACTAAAGAAGATATATGGACAGCCAATGAATACATGAAAAGATGCTGAACATAATTAGTCACTAGGAGGGTGCAAATTAAAACCACAAAGAGATACCACTAAACACCCACTGAAATGGCTAAAATTAAAAAGATAGACAATACCAAGTGTTGGCAAGGATATGGGGAAACTGGAACCCTTGTTCATTAGCTGGTGGAAATGTACAATTGGAAAGCCACTTTGGAAAGACTTTGGCAGTTTCTTTAACAGCTAAACATAAACTTTTCAACCCTGAAATTACACTCCTAGGAATCTATCCAAGAGAGTAAAAACATGTCCACACAAAGACATGTACACAAGTATTCATCACAGCATTATTCATAATAGCTTCAAACTGGAAACAATCCAAATATCTATCCACAGGTGAGCAGATTATTGTGATATATCCATATAATGGAATACTATTCAGCCAATTAAAAGGAATGAATAACTACTTACATCTGACGATATAGATGACAAACCTCAAAAACATTATGCCAAATGAAATAAGCCACATGTAAATACTATATATTAAATTATTTTATTTATCTGAAATGTCTAGTAAAGGTAATTCTATAGAGACAGAACAGATCAGTGGGTGCCTATGGCAGGACTGGGAGTGGAGTATAACTGTAAATGGGTTCAAGGTTTCTTTTTGGGGTAATGGAGATGTTCTCTGGTGACAGTTGTACAACTCTACAAATTTACTAAATCCACTGGATTGTACATTTACAATGAGTGAATTTCATGGTATGTAAACCATATGTCAATAAAGCTGCTAAAACAAAAGTGGGGGAATGCCAAAGTCATCACAGATAAATCATCAGGCAGCAACAGCTAAACTATTTGAGAAATCCTTAATTTGGGGAAAGATTCTTCCATATATTTTAAGATATATTTGAATCTATTTCTGTATATGCATATGATGATTTGATGTCTGATGATTATTCTTGGTGATTCTTTTGGACCTCAAATAGTAAGATTTTATTTCTGTTTGATATCATAATACTCTTCCAGACTAAGGGGAAGAGGATAAACACAGAACAAAGCCAATTCAAAGATTATCGTTTTTTTTATAGGGAAGGGGAAAAAAAGGAAATTTGGAAACATTGAAAGAAATACATAAATAAGGCAAACCTAAGAGAATTTCTCAAGGATGACGTCATCTATCATCACATGTAATAGTTATTCATTCCTTCTAATTGGCTGAATAGTATAAATAAAATAATATAACATATAGTATTTACATGTGGCTTATTTCATTTGGCATAATGTTTTTGAGGTTTGTCATCTATCATCTAAAAGTTATTCGTTCCTTTTAATTGGCTGAATAGTATTGTCAAGCTCAACAATAATAGTAATACCACACTTTGCAACACTTGGTTTCTGGCAGGTGGCTTTCCTCATCTATTCTCACCACCAGCCAGGGTGCAGGAAGTTGCTAGGCAGATAAAGAGAGAATGGAGCCTCAGTGCAATCAGCGATTTGCTCAAGGTCCCAGAGGCAGTGAGCAGTTTTGGAAACTGCCCAGGCCCAGAGCCATGGCATTTAGTCTTCTTGGAGTCCCCAACCCCCAACCATGCCTTGTCCTTGCAGGTGCAGCCCCAGAAAGCCAAAGCCCCCACAGAGGCTCTGTGAGCCCGTACAGACAGTGGGTTTGTGTGACAGCACAATTCCTTGCCCTGCGAGAAGGCCTGGCCCACGCACAGACAGCTGGAAGTCACTTCGACCCCCGATGACACCGTTCAAAGCCTCCTCTGTTTGGCTTTTTGATTCCTGATTGACATTCGCTGGCGAGGAGAGATAAATGCCCAGCCGAGGACAATGTTGATCCGCTCCGACCCGCTCTCAGGGAAAGACTTTTCAGAATAACAAACAAAACAAAACAAAAACCCAAAAACATT